TTCTCCAATGATTTTCTCCACATATATAATCAGTCTGATTTCTGCATAGGCCTCCAGGTGAGGCCCATATGTATAAGTGCCTTTTTAGTTTTGTATAAAAGGTTATTTGCAATGAATAAATCATTGATTGTACAGAATTCTATCATTCTGTCTCCAGCCTCATTTCTGTCACCAAGTCCATGTTTCCTAATTCTTCTTCCTTGTTCCCAACTTTTGCTTTCCAGTCACACATTATTACTAACTTATATTGGCTGCATATTTAATTGATCATGTTTTGAAATATTTAATATTTTTAAGATTTAAGTACTACCCAATATGATCTATACATTTTATATAAAGCCTATCGAAATTCCAATTGCTTTTTTTTAAAAAAAAAGTCACACATTTTTCGAGGAAACAATAAACTGTTTTCCAGAGTGATTGTATCGTTTTACAATCCCACCAACAGTGTATGAGAATTCCCACTTCTCCACATATTCTCCAACATTTATTACTTGCTGCCCTACTAAAGCCTGCCACTGCTACTGGGGTAAGATGGTATTTCATAGTGGTTTTGATTTGTATATCCTTTCTTTATGCGTCTGCTTGCCATCTGGATATTCTCCTCTATGAAAAGTCTTTACATGTCTTTTGCCCATTTTGTAATTAGGTTATCAGGGTTTTTGTTTGTTTGCTTGTTTTTTTTTTCCCCTTCTGGGTGTCCAGGAGTATTCTGTAAACTTTTGTCACTTTTGTCTGAAATGGCATTGCCAAATGTTTGTTCCCAGTCAGTAGGCTTTATTTTCATCCTGTTGGAAACACATGGTTTATTGTTTCCTAAAAAAGTTGAATATAGAAATGCCATATGACCCAGCTATTCCACTATTAGGAATATAACCCAAGGAAATGAAAACTGAGAAACATAGCAGTATTATTCACAATCACAAGAACATAGAAACAGCCCAATTGTCCAACTACAACCGAATGGATTGAGAAACTGTGGTACATTCACACAATGGAATACTATACAGCGCTCAGGAGCAATGATGTTGAAAAATACTATGTAAATTGGGAGAGACTGGAGAGCATTATGCTGAGTGAAATAATGCAGTCTCATAAGGAAAAATACTGCATAAGACCATTATTGTAAAAAAATTGAAGGATAACTAGTAAAGCATGTATTGAAATTCAATTGGGGGGAGGTTTGAAGATGAGTAGAGGTGAAACCACAGGGTTGGGGGCAGGAGGATAGGAAATGAGAAGGATCCAGGCAAAAACACAGGGTAATGATTGGCAAGGTCCAATGGTGATCAATTTTATAAAACAATGTGAAAGAATAATAGAATGAAACACAATGTATATATGAACTTTGTATGCAAACCAATAAAAAACCTAATAAACTTAAAAGCCTATCATCAAAGTAATATAGAAGTACAACAGACTATGATAGATCAAAACATCATTGGAAAAAAAATTAAAAGATTCAAGAGAAGGCTAAAATTAAGGACAAATATTATTCAGGAAGAAAATACTCAAAAGAAAGAGAATACAATCCAGAGAAAAATCAGGTAGGAATGTACTGTTGGCCTTTGATAAAAAACTAATGATTTCATAGTTATCAAAACTGCCCAAAGGATTTTATGTTCAGCTTCCACTGTTTGCTGTTATGTGCTGTCAAGGTGCTTACAATTCACAGCATACTTGTGTACAACAGACCTGAAACTCACCCTACCCAGTTCCAAACTTATTATCTCTGACACACCTACCATCAATATCCCAGTCACTGATTCAATCCATCTCATTGAGGGTCCTCCTCTCTTGCACTGTCCCTCCACCCTTCCAAGCATAATGTTCCTCTCTAAGTACTGGTCCCTCCTTGCAACATGCTCAAATTATGTCGTACAAAGCTTGAGAATCCTTGCTTCCAAGGAGCAGCTTGGTTTTACCCTCTATAGGATAAACCTGTTAGTTGTCCTGGCAGTTGATGATATATTTAATACTCATCTCCAGCACCACAGCTCAAAGACATAAATTCTCTTTCTGTCATTCCTAGTCACTGCTTAGCTTTCTGAAACATAGCAAGCAATTGTGAATACTACAGCCTGGATGAGGTGCACCTTAGTCTCCAGACTGACACCGTTGCTCTTCAGTACTCTGGAGAGGTCCGTGACAGCTGACTTTCCAAGGGACTTCATCTTCTGATTTCCTTTGCTGGTTGATGGTACCAAGAGTGTTGATTTTGGAGCTAAGCAACTATAGCTATTAACAATCTCA